TTGGCCACGCGGCCCACCCCGAGGAGGCTGCACGCCTGTGCTTCCGGCGCTTCTGCTACGAGGAGGCGTCCGACCCACACGAGGCCCTGGCCCAGCTCCGCGGGCTCTGCCGCCAGTGGCTGCGGCCGGAGGTGCACTCCAAGGAGCAGATGCTGGAGCTGCTGGTGCTGGAGCAGTTCCTGGGTGTGCTGCCCCCCAAGATCCAGGCCTGGGTGGGGGCCCAGTGCCCCAGGAGCGGCAAGGAGGCCGCCATGCTGGTGGAGGATCTGACTCAGGCGCTGGACCGGAAAGGTGAGGGGACGGCGGTGGGCAGGTGTTCACAGGACACCCCAGGCAGGGGCGGGGCTGTATGGGGGAGGGCTGGGGTCAGGGGTCCGGCCGCCCAGTACATGCCCTCCCGTTTGTAATTCACCCAAACACTCGCACTGTGCGAAGCACACCTTTTTTTTTTTAATGTTTTTGTTCATTTTAAAGGGAGAGTGAGAGGGATATATAGAGAGAAACATCAATGAGGAGCTCTGAGCCCTGGCCGGTTTGGCTCAGTGGATAGAGCGTGGGCCTGCGGACTGCAGGGTCTCGTGTTCGATTCTGGTCAAGGGCATGCACCTCGTTTGCAGGCCCCCCGCCCTGGTCGGGGGTGAACGGGAGGCAGCCAGCCAATGTTTCTCTCACATTGGTGTTCCTGTCTTTCCCTCTCTCTCCACTTTCTCTCAAAGTCAACGGAAAAAATATCCTCGGGTGAGGATTAAAAAAAAAAAAAAAACATTGATGAGGAGACAGAATCATTGATCGGCTGCCTCCTGCATGCCCCACACTGGGGATCAAGCCTGAAACCCGGGCATGTGCCCTGGCCAGGAATCAAACCGTGACCTCCTGGTTCATAGGTCAATACTCAACCACTGAGCCATGTGGGCGGCGGCTGTGTGACTCTCTTATGCCTCAGTTTCCCTGTGAGTAAAATGGGGATGGCAGTGCGTCTGCAGGACGAGAAACAGCCACTGTCGGGGCAGCTTGTGCAGCTGCTCGAGAAGCAGGCATTTCTGGAAGAGGTCGGCTAGGTGCCCGCCCTTGGTCCCATCGCCTGTGCCCACTCGGATGTCACAGGGGCGGGGAGAGGAGGGAGGGAGGGAGAGGAAGGCAACAAGGGGCTGAAAGGAAGAGGGAGAGCCAGATGGAGAAGTGGGGCCGAGGCCCTGTGGTGTGTGTGGACCCCGTGCGTTCTGGGAAGAGCAGGTTCCTGGAACAGAGGAAGACGGGGAGGGGTGGGGTTCAGGGAGCCGAGGGGTCCCCTGGAGATTCAAGGGCGATGAGATTCACCAGCCGAAGCCCCAGCTTGGCCACTTGCTGTGTGACCTTGTACAAGTGACTCAGCCTCTCTGAGCTGATGATGTGGCCTCACATCAGTTACTGAAGAGCTTCCCTCAGCTGGGCCTCCGTTTCCCCGTCTGCAATGCAGGTTGAGCTAAAAGGAGGCCATGGCCAGTATCTACTACACTCGCAGCCTGATAGCGGCCAGCAGCCCGGGCCGCAGTGTGTCCTTCCCCCCTTACAGATGAGGAAACGGGGGGCTAGAGAGGGGCGGATCGCCGGGGCCCCCTCCTCGCCCTCCTTCCTGGGGTCCTCCAGGAACCCAGGCTCTGTGCTCCCTTCAAGGGTAGGCCGGGGCAGGTGCTCCAGCGTGGGAACACAACCCCTCCTCCGGCTGCCCTTCGCCACACTCGCCCGCCCAGCACCTCGGAGAGGCGGGGCCTCAGACCCAGGCCGGTACGGTGCAGTGGTTAGAGCGGGCCTGTGCACTGGAGGGCGGCAGGTTCCATCCCCGCCTGGGGTCGGGCGTGTGAGGGAGTCAGCCAATCGCTGTCTCTCTCAATGTTTCTCTCTCTCTCAGTTTGGGGGGTGAGGGATTGGATGCTCTCAGCAGCGCCCAGCGGGTGTGTCAGGAGTGGCCCGCGTGTCCCCCCACAGAGGGAGGCCACCCCCCGGGCGAGTCCAGAGGCTGATGCCCGAGGCCTGACGCTGCGGCTCCGTGTTTCAGGCTGGAAGCCGGGAGCCGAGCCCCCAGGAGCGAGCTGCAAGCACGGCGATTCGGAGGAGGCAGACGCGGCGGCCCAGGCCCTCGCGGGGGGCGCGTCCCTGGGACACGGCTTTGGTGAGGCCTTTGGACCCCAGGGCAGCTCGGAGAGGATGGTGGGGCTCCCGGTAGACGTCTGGACCGAGCCCTGCGCCCCGGAGACAGGGTTCAGGGCCGCTCCGGGGCCTCCCGAGGCGGCCCTCAGGGACCAGCCCGGCTGTGGCTCCGG